ACACAGCAGGTGGCCCTGGAGAGCACTTCATGGCAGTGTGGCTGCCAGGGCCTCCCTTCTGCTCTAGGGGGTCCCTGCTGTCACACCGGCTGAAGTGCTGGCCAGGAAGGGGCAGGGTGCAGGGAGGGGAGCTCCACTTGGGTTGCCGTGTTCTTCTCTGGAACCTTTAGGCTCCTGCCATCTTCACACCCCTCCTCACAGTAAAGGCCCTGTTCTTTCTGGAAGTGTGCGTCTACTTGCTCTCTCTCTCTCTCTCACACACACACACACACACACACACACACACACTCACTCACACTCCTACCTCTCTGAGGGCAACCAGGTGAGGTGCCGCTCAAGGTCTCCCTTTTCCAGGCAGCCCTCAGTGCTTGCCAGACTCACTCCTACAATCCCAGCAACTCAGGAGGCTGAGGTTGAGGCAGGAGGATTGCAAGTTTGAGGCTAACCTCAGCAATTTAGCAAGACCCATCTCTCTTTTTTTTTTTTTTTAAAGAGAGAGATTTTTTTTAATATTTATTTTTTAGTTTTTGGTGGTCACAACATMTTTATTTTATTTTTATGTGGTGCTGAGGATCAACCCAGCGCCCTGCGCATGCCAGGTGAGCACGTTACCACTTGAGCCACATCCCCAGCCCCAAGACCCATCTCTTAATAAAAAGTTGGGCTGGGGATGTAGCTCAGTGGTAAAATACCCCTAAGTTAAATCCCCAGTACTATAAAAATAAAGATTCCTCCCAGTTTTTAGAATAAGATAAAACACACACACACACACACACACACACGAGTTTCTCCTGTACTGTGAACAGCACCCTGGCCCAGGATCCTGAGTCTGTCAGTGCTCCTTGTGGGAGAGGCCACAGCAGGTGGTCCCATGGATGATGGATGCCACCCTCTCTCTGCCTGAACCCCCTACAGTGGGGAGACTGAGGCTGTATCCTAGGACAGTGAGCCCTGGGAAGTCTTCCAGGGAGAGCCTTGTCTGTACACCACTCATGCACTGGATGCGTGGGCCACAGGCTCCCAGGCTGGGCTCCATCATCAGTTCCTGTGTGTCCCTGTCCTGCCCACCCTTCCCTGGGAGCCTTGGAATCCTGGGTAGTTTCTGGGAAAACCTGGACTGGGGTGCYGTGAGGTCTGTGTCTACCTGCACAACCCTCTTACCTGGGCAGTGGCACCATGGGAGACCTGGAAAGCTTCCCTAGGGCTGCAGTCTGGAAGCTTGTGTGTGTTTCTCTTGCTGAGATCCAGCAGTGATGGGGGTGATGGTGGGCAGCCCTGGGCTCCTGGGAAGTAGGAGCTAGTGCTTGCTGGCAGCAGGTGGGCAGGCGTAGGCCCCCGTCCTGGGGTGAGCTGTTGAGCACTGGCCTCTGGAAGGGGAGCCTGTTGCCCCACCCTCCCTGTTCTTTCTGACTTTACTGGAGTGTGACTTACTGGGGGATTGCCCTGGGGCCATTGAGGAGGGGGTGAGTTTGGCCCTTTGGTTGGCCCAGTGCTGAAGCAGGACTTGGCTCTACAAGGAACTAGGGTGGGGACAGGCTTCCTAAGACCCTAACCTTACTTTGTCCACCTGTAAAATGGGTCTGGAGAGGATCCCAGGCAGCCAGGGAGATTCCAGTGTCCCCTTTTCTCTGAGTATCCTCTGGATGAGGAGGAGCTGTGGCTAGCCCTGCTGCACATGCAGGTGGCATACACAAGGACAGCACYCAGAGAGGTGGCCAGACATCCCCTGTGTCCTTTGCTAGGAGTGACTGGTCTTCCTAGGTAGTGCTGGAGGGGGACCGTGGCAGGAGCCAGGGCCAAAGAGTGGACAGGATCCTGGGCTGGCAGTTGCAGACCTGGGTGCCGGAGCCCGAGGGCAAAGTCCCTTGGCGTACCTCCTTTCTGTAAATACTCTGGCCCTCTCCCTGTTCCCTCAAGTAGGGGGAGGTGAGGATAGCTGCTCTCTGCCCTTTGTCCTCATTGGCTTGGCAGATGGTCACCCTCTAGACTGCCCAGTGGAATCCCAGGAGTCGCCTTTTTCCCCTTTTAAAGAAAACAGATCTTTGAGCGCAGTTCGCCCTGGCAGTCCTGCAGCTGCTCTGGCTGCCCTCCACTCCACTCCACGTGGGGTTGGCGTCCTTTCTGGGGGAGGAGGTAGTTGAGGTGAGGCTRCTCCCACTTTCGTTGGCCCCCGTGGTCCCCTCACAAGAGCCCCAGGTATACTCTAAAGCCCCTGCCAGCTGTAAGTACCCCTGGACACTCTACAGGCCGCTGGCCAGGGAGCCAGCCAGGGAGGGCAGGCCTGGCGTGCGCTCACCCCTCCGGGCTGTGTGAGGCGGGGCAGGAGCCTCCACTCAGAGCTTCTGAGGGTGGTTGGGCACGTCTTGGTTTTCTCATGGGGACAGCTTGGCCCACTAGCTTAAAATAGTCTCTGTGAGCCCTAGAAAGATAGGATGGACCTGGGAGCTCAGAAAAATGTCCTTTTACCAGAGATGGATTCCTCCCAGAGGGGTTGGTCCCTTCACCAACCACTAGGTCCCTCCCATGATTGCCAAGAGATGGATGACCCAGATGAGGGTTGGTGACATTCACCAGGAGCACTGAGACATGGCTCCACAAAAGCCCCACTCTTGTGGCCAGGCCTGGGTATCAGTGTGCAGAGCTGGGAGGAGGAGTTTGCCTTCCTCAGCAAGGTCAAGCCCTCTCGGAATGTTAGCTGAGGGTATCTGCCTCTGCCACCACCTCCAGGTTGAGACGGCAGCACCTGTGTGTCCTGGCAGGCTGGTCCCTCAGCAGATGGAGGCCATAGTATGCTCAGGTGGCCTGGCTGGCACCCGTGCCACCCTGCCCACTTCCTCACATTCCTTGTGTGTGAGCTCAGCTGCTGCACCAAGGAAGTGAAACCTCAGTGACCTGTCTGTCTAGGCCCTGGGCGGCTCTTGTGTTTTCTCCTGTCACTCAGGGTGTTAACAGGGCTCAGGATCCCGGGTTAGGTCTCTCTTCCTCCCGGGGTTGCAGGAGACATGGGGGCCATGAGCCTGGAGCCAGGCTCTTTGGGGTCTTGTGAGCAGGGAAGCCTCTGGGGCCAGCTCTCAGACTTGTCAGTCTCAGCCAGTGAGAAGCATGTCTGATGCAGTCAGTGCACACGTGTGCACAGGTGAACGTGCAGGAGCCTGCACCAGAACGCCRTGATCAGTCACATGCACCCTTGCCAGGTCAGCGCCCCACTTTTTCCTGTCTCTAACGGCAGTCCCACTCATGGAGTTTTTCTGCATTCCTGGGTCTGGGGGGGCGGGATTTGAACATTGCTGCTGGGAGCTCAGAGCTCATCCACTGCCCGTGGGGTATCCCTGCCCGTTTCCAGGCACCCCTTGGATCCCACTGGTGCAGACCCTGGTCCCCATCCTGTGTGCAGTACGCTTCACCTGCCCTCCCAGACCAGAGGCTTGTGTGTGGCCACCCTTTCCCCTCCACTCACCCTACCTGTCTCCACATGGCAGTGCTCCGTGTGCAGTGCCCAGGAATCCAGCCCTGTTGGAACTGCCTTCCCTCCTGTTCCTAATCAGGACTGAGCAGCCTCTTGGGGTGCCTCCTAGTGTCCACCTGGGCCCTCCACTAAAGCTTGAGCGGCCTGCTGACTGACATGCCGCTGCTCAACCTCCCCCCACCCCCAGCTTCCTGCCCTGCCTGGGGGAAGCTACCACCATTGGGGAGGCCTGCTTTCCTTCCTGTCTTCATTCTGCTGCTGAGTACCTCCGGCCCTGCCTCTGCGTATGCCCCCTTGCGCCTTCCCTCCAGAGACCGGATCTGTGGGGCACTGGCAGGCCGGGTGGCTGCTGCATCCTCGCTGTGCACATGGGCTTTGGGCTGGCACAGGTCTGTGCCCATACCCGTGCAGGTGTCCCTGCTGCTGAGGGGTGGGCTCTGGTGTGGTGAGGAGGGGACAGCAAGCCTGTGACGGCAAGCATGTAGGGGTGGGTCAGAGCTGAGCCCTTGTCCTCAAGAACACAGGTCTCAGTGCCGCCATACCTCAGGAAGGTAGATGGAGCATGTGTCAGTGCATTTCCTGGAGCCAGGTCCCATGGTGTAAAGTGGTGTTCTTGTCCTCAAATGCCCTCCTCACCTGCCCCGCGGGTCCTGCGGCCTAGACTGGAGCTGGGACAGGGTTGCCCTCGCCCCCGCCCACAGGCTTTGGTTGGGTGGGTGGAGGCCCCACAGCCTCCCGCCCCAGCAGAGCCAGGCAGCTTCCCTTCCTGTTATCCTCAGGAAGGATCAGACTCCCAGCATGACAAACCACCGGAAGGCTTAGGATGTGGCCGAGACAGGGCTTTCTTTCAGAATTGCTCCCAGGGTCCTCCCTGGCTGGGTTGGCTGTCGGTAGTCGTGCGTGTTATGCTGGTAGAGTTCTCATTTGGCTCTGTTTGTGTGTGCCTGTTTTTACGCCTTGTAATTAAAACATTTATTTGGCCTTCACAGGGAAAATCTAATTTCTTGAGTCTAAGAACTGCTGATATTGGCAGGAGACTGCAGTCCGTCAGGCAAACAGATCCGGAGCCTGTTGGATTATTCATAGCGTGGTATTTGCAGATCAGGCTGTGGATCGTACTAATCAGAGTTGATGTTTGGTAATTGATGTGTTGAGTTAGGGTTTTAGCGTGGGGGGCGTTGCTGAGCATTTGTGTGTGGCCGGCGGGCGGCCTCCTAGGGCTGACTCAGCGCTGCCAGCTGGGTAATGGTGCCTGGGCGGCCACACATCTTAGTACCGACTGAGTACTGCGTGGCCCATAGAGTATTCCCTTGCTGCTCGGCAGACACCCTGTGCACGAGGGTCTGTGCCCACCTCAATGGTACAGATGTGAACACGGGCTCAGGCTCACTTACCCGAGGGTGTTCAGGAAGGTCCAAAGCTGGGATTGGAGCTGGGGAAGTGATACCCACCCTGGACTTCCTCCCCATGGCTGGGCCCCCCAGAAGGATGTGTGGACAGCACTGGTGACACCACTCTCTCTGTTCTCTTCCAGACCATCATGGAGCAGTTTAACCCCAGCCTGCGCAACTTCATCGCCATGGGGAAGAACTACGAGAAAGCTCTGGCAGGTAGAGAGCAGCAGCCCCTGTCTGTGGGCTCACCATCCCTGACCTGCAGGCGAATTTCAGCTCGGGCCCTGAGTTCTGGGTGGAAGCCATGGGGAGCCATGTCTTCCAGAAATGACATCCGACGAGAAACCCAGCGAGGGAGTAGCTCTCTGAGCTCTGAATGTGTCCAGCACATGGTGACTGCACCTGCTTGCTGGTGGGGTGGTCCTGTCCCAGGGCTTCAGGATGACATGGAAACTAGGATTAGGGTGTACAGGATGCCACTGGTACTATGGTGGCCCTAGATTTGGGCCCTGCCACCTCTCCCTGGTGAGCAGATACTCTGCAGCTTCTGCCCCAGGTGTTGGGACTGAGGACCAGGATCTGGGGGTGGCAGTGCTAGACCCTTGAGAATTCAGCTCCATGTGATCCCCTCTGCCCATACCACTGGGCCCTAGGTAGGCCTGGTCTTTCCACCCAGCAGGGCTAAGTTGTGCTGTTTGCAGACCCACCCTCCCCGAGGAGTAGCAACAGTCTCCTGGTCACTGGGCCATGCCAGGGAAGAACGTCTCCCTTCAGAGTGCAGGAGAGTGGCCTATGGTCCCTACTTTGTTGGAGCCAGTGGCATTGGCCAGTAATCACAGGGCTTCCGTGTTCTGAATTGCCCTCTGCCTGCAGTGTGCACAGCTGTGGTTCCAGCTGGGTGGTGGGGGGGTGCACACCTGTAATCCTAGTGACTCAAGAGGCTACAGCAATAGCGTGGCACGTCTGAGGCCAGCCTGGGTTACTTAGACCCTGATTCAAGATGAAGGGCTGGGGCGGTAGCTCAGTCGTRGAGCAACCCAGTGTCAATCCCCCGTACTGCAAAGAGAGAGAAAAGAAGAACACGCTGCAGGGTTCCTGTGGCTGCCGGGAGGCTGCCTTCATCCTCACTCTGTCCCTCTGTAGTCCTGAGCCCAGCAGCACAGCCCCAGGAGCCCACCAGGGCCCAGATCGCAGAAGGGCTGCCTGCTGGTGCACTTGGGTCCTGTCCTCCTCAAGTGGAGAGCCAGCCTTCAGGGTCTTCAGGACACCATCCCCTAGGAGGAGCTCCTCAGGCATGGAAGTAGTGCAGTGTGCCCTTGGCCTCCTGGGGGTATCAGCCGTCCCATTCCCCTGCTGTAGGGCCACTTGCCTGGAGCTCACCGTGTCCTAAGAGCCGCTGCCTTTGGGCTGAGTCTGACGATGGCAAGAGGCTCTGGGTCTCAGGCCAGGTTTGCTGCCTGTCTCAGGCATAGCATGCTGCAATCCGATTTTCCAAGCAAAACTCATTCCTGTGTGCCTTGAATGTCACCAGCCTCTCACTCCCTACTGGCCTCTGGCCTGGCCTGTGCACTCCAAAGGTGCAGGACGGCTCTACCTTGAGGAGATGGGACGTGGAACTTGGATGTTGCAGGCCCTGAGGGCTGCCCTCTTCAAAGCCATCGTCTGGGGTGCCTGGTGGCCTAGACCATGAAGGATTTTTTTCTTACTCTCGTGTGGCTCTCCCTTGGCTGGTGGATTCTGTCCCTAGGTGTCTTGCTTTTTGGAAGTTGTCACCGATAACCTCAGTGGCAGCTGCAGCCTGTGGTTTCCACTTTGATTTGTACCCTCCAGCCTTTGATGCTCGGACGTGAGTTTCCTTCTGGCCTTTCTGCTGCCCCTCGCAAGGTTACTGGTGGTTGTGGACAGTGGGGAGGGCCACTTCCTCTTCCTGTTTTCCTTGAGTGACTCCCAGGACAGAGCKCAGCCACCCAGGCCAGCTGCAGTACCTCAGCTGCACTTGGCCTCCCTAGTGCTTGACTTCTGCTGCTTTTTGTCCCATTTATTTTTAAGAAGCCCACTCCTTAGACAGCAGAAGCATGAGGATCCTGTACAGGGTTCTGTGCCACAGAACAACTTGTGTGCACTTAATTGAGAACTATAAGCAAAATGTGGTCAAAGACCCAGTTATGAGCCCCTAGCTGGGCTTAGCACACAGATTAGAAATTGTAATTATGCTACTATGACTCGCCCTGTTCCTTGTGCAGCCTGGGCAGGCCCTTCCCCACATTCAGGAGTTTATCAGGCACAGCAAGTGTTGGAGAGGGTCCCATGAGTTACCAGGAGGAAGGCCCAGACTGCTAGTTCCTCTGTGTGCTGCTGCTCCCCCAAGCTGGGGTGGAGGTCAGCAGGGCTGAGCTTTCCATGCCCACTGTGTCAAATGGGCATTCCTTCCTTCTGTGGTAACAGACAGGAGGCATCTCTGGCCTTAACAGTGCCCAGGGGTACCTGGAAGCTGCTCCGAACGGTGGCTCCTACTCCCATTGGGCCTTGTGCTAGGATCCAGGAACAGCAAGAAATGGCTCGCGCTCTGTGGGTTTGGCTTGGTGTCTGGGAATGAACCCGTAGCTTCCTAGCCTCAGGTTGGTGGTGCTTTTGCCCAGGGTCGGCTCTTATGAAGTGCACTTACAGCAGAGCTCCTCCCCGTCAGCAAACAGCACATGATGGGGAGTAGCCCTGGAGCTGCACAGAACACTGTGTTCTAAGAAATAAAAGGAGCCCTTACGATTGGAGTGAAATAACATCAACAAGCAACAGGGTGACATCCAGGCCAAGGCAGGGTTGGCCTCAGCTGCCGTGGCCGTGTTTTTGCTGCAAGCACCTTGAGTGGGAAGTAACTGCTTTCTCCTTTCTTCTCAGGTGTGACCTTCGCTGCCAAAGGCTATTTCGATGCCCTGGTGAAGATGGGAGAGCTGGCCAGCGAGAGTCAGGGCTCCAAGGAACTTGGTGAGACCCTGGGCCCCATAGAGAGCCTCGAGATCCCTAAGTTGTAGGAGGTACCCAAGCGGGTCTAGAATCTGGTCTTGTGCCTGGCCCTTCTTCCATTTGGGGTCATAGTTATCTACCAGATAAGAAAAGATATTAAAATGACAGTGCCCTGCAGAGCTGGTGAGGGGCACCCCATGGAAAGCAAGTGCACTGGGCTGCGTGGGGCACAGTGGTGGCCTTCTCCTCTGAGGAGTGTGGCTGGGCCGAGGTGTGCAGGCACAGCAGAACTTGAAGGGCAACCTCATGAGCAAGTGTGGCAGGGTACTCTGCTGATGGTGCTTGCYGACTTGCAGAATCACTCCTGCTTGTGCAAATAAGTGACAAGGGTGTAAGCCCCCAGGGGGTGTGATTCCCCCATGTGCCATGTGTGCCCATGCCTCGTGAGGGGGAGGGAGGGGACCCAGTGTGTTAACGGGTGGGGTTCTTGGGCCGATGGCTGTTTTCTTCGGGCTCTGGCTTTGTAAACACTCTATCACTCACACAGTTGGGGGGTGCAGGCCCCTGAGCCCTGGTGCAAGCCGGGCTTTGGGTGGAGTCCAGTTTCTGTGGTCTTCCTGACTCAGGGCACTGGTGTTGATGTGGCTGTGGGCTGCCTTCCCTCATTGGGATGCGTGGCTGGAGATGGGCCTGGAGCGGCCCGGTCTGGGCTCGGTCACAGCTCTTCGGCAGGTTGTGCCCAGCAGGTTGGCCTTGGATCAGTGAGAAAACCTAAATTGGCCAAGAATCACTAGCCTCTGGGCACAGAGGACAGACTTTCTTCTTCTGGTCGCCTTGTCTGTGGAAGCTTCCCTGCCATCCTGGGACCTGTCCTCATGTTTGGCCAGCAAGGGCAGCAGGTACAGATGCTTAGACTGCAGCAGGTTGACATGAGCGTGCAGGGCAGGCTGAGCTCTGGTGGCTGCTAGTGCAGGGCCCCAGCTGCACCCGCAGGCTGGGGTGCTGAGAAGGGGCCTGCCTCCCCCACCGTGGCCCTCTGCAGGGCCGCCGTTCTCCCAGCTCCGCCTGCTCTCACCTTGTGCTCTGCCCTGTCCTGTGTCTCGAGACCTGCACAGAGTCAGCCTCCGGTGAAGGCGCCAGGCCTGCTGCTGCTGTGTTTCAGGGCTCAGGATTCCTGTGGCCTCCAGTGTTCTCGAGATGCTGCTGGGTTGTCAGATGCAACCACAGGACCTTTCTGGGGGAAGGGAACAAAGCTGCATGTGGATGTGGCCCAGTGAAGTGGCAGACCAGGACAAGGAGTCTGTGCAGGGGGCTGGGCTCTTGTGGACAAGGCACCTGGGCGTCTAAAAGGAAGGCTGTCTTGGTCTCAGCAGTTCTGATGGCTCTCGGAGGAGACCGTCTTGCACTGTGGTTATAGGGCTGACCTGGGGCCCTTGGCAGCCCTGGGAAGGTGAGGGCAGAAGGTCTTTTGTTTGGGCTGCTGGATACCTCGCTTCAGTCTGGCTTGTAGATTTAGCTGGTTGGTGAGGTGGACAACACGGGGTCATGGAGATGGTGACTCCAGTACCACATGTGGGTCCCCCAGAGTTCTGGACTGGAGTTTTGGTCTAGAATTTAGAGAAGGTGCCCTCCTTCACAGCCTGGCCTTCCCAACGCCTCCGAAGCCATCTTTGAGGCACTGTTTGAGCTCCATGTGTCTGTGGAGGCAGTTTTTCTCGTCCGGTGATAGAGGATCAGGGCTTTATCTTTTGTTCACCCATAGAGAGTGAGGATCTGCCTGTAGGAAATCYAGGACCTGGGCAGCCCCACAGTGAGGGGCAGGTATGTCTGAGACCACGGCAAGATTCGTGGACTACCTGCTGCCGTACTTGGGGCAGGTGATGAACTGCAGGCCCAGGTGGGCAGCAGGGAAGGTTGGTGTCAGGGCTCCGTCTTGAGTCGGGAGCTTCCTGTCTGCATGGGGCTGTGTTGAACTCTCTCCTGGGCTCATCTGCAGAGTGGAGCCTGCTGTGCCTGCAGAGTGGCTGGGGTGCTGCCTGGCTCCCCCGTCAGAACGTCCTCTTTTGGTAACGGCTGTCTTGACAGCTGTGCTGGTGCCATGTCGTTCATCCGTTCATCGTGAACACTCCAGGGCTTTCAGCACGTCCAGTTCAGGCTGGACTCTTGTCGAGCTCTGGGGGGAGAAGGAGCGCAGCTGCATGCCCCTCACCAGCCCCAGCAGCCCCTCCTTTCGTGGGTTTGTGTCCATGGATTTGCCTCTCCTAGACATTGCCTGCCGTGGCCTTGAGCAACCTGTGACCATGTCCATCTGGCTGATTCCGTGGAGCGGGTTTTTTGAGGTCGGTCCATGTCRTGGCATGTGCCAGAATTCCTGTTTATGGCCCGATGATACTCCACCATGTGGACAGGCCGGTTTTGTTTCTCCATCCATCAGTGGACATTGGCTGCTTCCTCTTCTCAGCTGTTRGGAGTAGTGTTTCGTGGAACAGTACTTGTGTGGACATACAAGTGGCATGCACCTGGCAGTGGGGTTGCTGGGCCACTGGCTGGAAGCCGGACTTTTACCAAAGCAACATGCCTTTGCTTTAAAAAGAAGTTGGGGGGCTGGGGATGTGGCTCAAGCGGTAGYGCGCTCGCCTGGCATGCGTGCGGCCCGGGTTTGATCCTCAGCWCCACATACAAACAAAGATGTTGTGTCCGCCGAAAACTAAAAAATAAATATTAAAATTCTCTCTTTAAAAAAAAAAAAATAGGGGCTGGGGATGTGGCTCAAGCGGTAGTGCGCTCGCCTGGCATGCGTGCGGCCCGGGTTTGATCCTCAGCTCCACATACAAACAAAGATGTTGTGTCCGCCGAAAACTAAAAAATAAATATTAAAATTCTCTCTTTAAAAAAAAAAATTAAAWAAAAAAAAGAAGTTGGTCCTTTTGTCCTCCCTGCTTGCTGCCTATCTGCTGGTGTCTRKGTGTCTCCTTGCTGTTTGCTTCTGCACGTCTACCAGATAAGTTTATGCTGCTGCCGCTGCTTTTGGGGTTTTGTTTTGGGGGCTAGTGATGAAATTCAGGGGTGCTCCCTAGCATTTTTTATTTTTTATTCTGAGACAGGGCCTTCCTAAGTTGCTGAGGCTGATCTCAAACTTGTGATCCTCCTGCCTCAGCTCCCAAACCGCTGGGATTATAGGCGTAGCCATCACAGCCGGCTGCTATTGCTTTTTAAGTTTAGACATTTAATAAGTTCTTAAGGTAGAAAATGTGGATTTGGCTTTTTTATGCCATTACTCACCCTGGCTGGTGTAATTCACACGATCGTGGCTGATGTCAACACGTGCTGTTTATGTGGTGACGACATGACCTTTCCGCTGCTGAGACAGACACTCAGCCTGGCCCAGTGACTTGTGTCCCGCTTACTGGGGCTTAATTAAAGCACAGCCAACTGCACGTAAGCTCTGCCGCAGGCAGCCGTGTGGCTGGTGTGGAGGCCAGGTGCTGGACCTGTCCTTCCTCCCAGAATCCAGGTCCTCTAGGCAGCCACTGATCTGCTCTGTGTCGCAAGGTTAGKTGCGAGTGCCAGGAGTCGTGAGTGGAGTTGTGGGTGTGGCTGGACTGTGTTCCCRAACCCCTGGCTCTGGTGCTGGAGCCGGCCCACATAGGTCTGGGTGGCCCTTTGTTTGTGCCCTGATGGGTGGGCGGAGTTCTTTCAGGTTGGGCACTTCTAGAGCTGGTTTCCTGATTCACAGTGCGACACGTCTCTCATGGGCTGGTCTGCGTGCCCTAGTCTCCCGGGGCGTGTCTATGCAGGTCTTTCCTCCTGTCCTTCTCACTGACTTACAGATCCTCCYGCTCTGGGTGTGAGTCCTGTCAGGTGTGTGCTTTGTAGATATTTTCTCTCAGTCTGATTGGCCTGTCATTTTTTGTGAGTTTTGTGTTTCTTTTATTGAGTGCTGGGGAGGGAAGCCCAGGCTTTGTGCATGYCGGGCAGGTGCTCTGCCATTGAGCCACACCCAAGCCCAGCAGCATATTTAGAATTACACAAATGGTCAATCTTAATAAAGTCCAGTAGGTTGATTTTTTTTTTTTTTTTAATTTGGCATGATGGTTCCTGGATTTCTATTATTGGGCTCTGGTCACAGTTCTTAACATGACAGTTTTGTTTCCCTTAGACTCACATCTTCATTTGTGTCATTTTTGATGTCATGGACGTGTTCCCAAATCCACAGACCATACCCTTTTGCTGTCTATTGTCCATTTGTTTCCTATAGTTTGGGGTTCTCTTTGGAGTCCCCTTGTCCAGCTCCAATCATCTGGGCTTCCACTGGGACGGTCCCCTGGGGGCCTSCTGGTGCCCCCTCCCAGCTGGATCCTGGTCTTCGGTCTTTTCTGTGCCAGTATCCCCCCATTGGAGAGTCATCTTGTTTTTTCTTTAAGGTTCCTGAACAGGAAAGGGGGAAACGCCTTTGAACTGCAGTGTTGCAGGTGGTTTCCTACCTGCCACGGGGGACTTGGACTTGGGGTGATCTTTGCCGGGAGGTTGGCGGTGTCACTGTGTTGCCCTCTGACTTCCAGCCCTGCTGTTTCCAGCACCATCTGACGCTGCTGCTGCTGCTGCTGTGTGAAAAAGGAGGTCTTGGTCTTCTTTCCCTGGAAGCTTTTATGATCTTTGTCCTGAGTGTTCTGAAGACTCCTGACAGTGCCCCTGGTGGAGAGGCCCCTGAACAAGACATCACACCTGGCAGGGTGTGTGCAGTCTGCAGGGGCCACCCGAGCAGCAGTCCCTGCAGGATTCCACTGCCCAGACCTGGTCTAATTGCTGAGGGTGATGCTGCCTCTCCCACCCCACCCAGAGGAAAACTGGGCTCTGGGAAAGGGGGGAGTAGAAGGCATGTCCAACGGGGCAAGGTACACAAAACAGGGTTCTTTTGTAGAAACGGGGAGGGTCTGAAACAGAGGAGGGTGGCAAGGCCCGGAGAGAGACAGAGCTTCAGACAACCAGGGCTTTGTGGGAGTCYTGGGCCGTAGGCCTCT